ACACACGCAGGCTCGAAGTAATATGAAGTTGAGGAGCTTTTGCAAGTGCGTCGTATTAGAGCGGCGTCTTCTTTCGCAACTTATGTTGGATCTATTTAACTAATGACTTCGAGTTCACGCAAAGTTCAAGTAATCTGTCCTAAAGTTGTTAAATAGGAAATGGATCGCAAGGGGAGCCTGCAGCCTGCAGCCAGACAGTCAAATGAGTGTCAACAGCAGCACAAACACTCGCTGAGTTGGCCGTAGAATATTGAAGATTTGCAGTTACTCCAATTAGACAGCTGACAAGAGCATTGAGAAGCCTCCGAAGGAGTGCTTAGCGCATTAGGGAAACGCCAAAAGGCAAGTGGGATAAAAATAAGAAGCATAGGCACAAGAGCTGCACCACTACAGCTGCTTATTTGCGTAGGCTTAGCTGCGGCTCCACATCAGTTCATGGAAATTTACACTGTTAATGAAAAAAAGCCAAAAAAAAAAAACACCCTAACTGCCGTCCAATGCCAGCAAGCCTATGAAATTACAAGAGTAAACATGCTAAAATTAGCAACAAATGTAATTCTTAGCACATAACAGTAACAACCACGCCTTTCTACAACACACACGCCTCGCAGGAAGAGCCTGGCATTTGTGCAGCCGACGGGCGCCGAACTGCTACTGGGAGTTTGCGTAAATAAGGAAGTACCAAATGTGCTCCCTAGTGAAACTCATTAAAAAAGTTTGTCAAATAAGAATGCACAAAAGAATTTCACAATCTGAAGGGAATGCGAGCACTAACACTCAAATTGATGCTAGACTTGTCAATAGTAGGGGTGTATGCATAGCAACCCTGCGGGGAAATGGGAAATAGTGACGTGCCGACTTTTAGAGTATCAGTTGTTATGGGCATTAATGAAAATTTTAATGATATTTGCGTTCAAAAATTAACTCAAGTAAACTTCGAATTCGAAAGAATTCTGCTCAACGGTGCTTGAGTGGCATTTTTTAATTGCTTCGCATAAAATACGATTGGAGCACGTAATCCTCGTAATCTTGAATACAAACCACAAGCAGCACTTTTCAAAAACAATGTGTTTGCTATTGTTGTTGTAGTCTAAAATCATTGGGATTGAATATGATCAGTTGAGGAATATTTAGTAGAGGAGTAAAGGATATACTGAACCCTATCATTAAAAGGGTCTGACATGCCAGGGCCTCTCGTCTGAACTCTCACATGCGGCGCTGCTGCCGGCGCTAAGCTGTCTAAAAGCTTAGTGAATAAATGTTTTGTTGTAGCTCTTACACATAAGTATAAAGTAGTTATAGAAGCAGTTGAGCTTTCCCAACGGGCAGGCGCTACAAATAAGGCACATATATACATACATACATACACGCATATGAGCAAAGTATTTTCCCTTGTAGTAACTTTGGCGATAGTTCTGTGAGGGATATAAAATGGTCTTTTGTATGTTTTGCTATTAAAATAATATAAAAGTTACTAGGAAAATAAACTATATTTATGTTTATATGTATTTTTATAAGAAATTTAATAGTTATTGTTAATTAAAGTTTAACTGCTTTTAGTGTTTAAAGGGCTAAGGCATGCCCTGCCTTAATATTTCTAAATCTTTTGACAGAAGCGTGTTACACATTCTCGCCTTTCGTGGTTTGTTTTGTGGTGTGTGCATTTAAAAGAATACTTGAATATCGAGGCGAAATTTATCAGAAAAAAATTTCCATAATTTCTGATTTAATTTTGACAGGGTGCTAAAGTATTATAAGTGGCAACAATCGGTTAGTTGTTCTGTAGTATTGGGTATTTTATCAGGTTAATATTGAACGTATATATGATCCATTGAGTTTCTAAGTCAGCGAAGGTATTTTTTTATTATAAGAACCAATTGACTTGCTTCAAAATATATTTAACTTGCTTGCTCGACCATCTATGGAAAGTGAAGCCTTTCAGTAATGCTTCACGCACTTATTAAAAGTATTGGCTAAATTTGAACATGTTGCTGTTATTTTATTTCTTTTTAAACGAAAAATCAACTTTCAAAGAAAAGTACTCTTGTTCATTACCAAAAGGACTAAAGCTTCAAACCAAGCACGCACGCAGACACCCAGCCTGGCATGTAAGTAATGACGACTAAACATTTAGCGCAACGTCTGTATTCCTAGACTAATGTGCGGAAGGAAACTGTCAGTCGGCGAAAAAATATGGAGCAATTTTTTACCCAACCCATAACAAGGAAAAGTAAATAAGTTCTGGGATTTAAGTGCCAACAAATGTGTGTGGGTTTGCTCGAAGTCACCGAACCATCAAGAAATCGTATGTAAAACACACAATCACACATACACTTCCTCTTGTGTAATAAAATAGCCTTTTGATACTTTCAAGAGAATTAGAAGACATAAAAACGAAGCGAAATCTGAAGGCATGCAGACGCGCCCAAACAACTTGTCAGTAAGTCACACGCAAATCTGTCGCAATGTTCGCATATATGTTCAGTAGTCCTTGCCCACATCATTCAAAAACACGCTCACGCTCGTGCGTAGGCAGTCGCCAGCTGTTGAACTGTAATTCCCCACACGCCACACTATCTTCGTTTGGCAGTCCGTCTGCTATCATATCTGCCAATTGCTTTTTCGACGTTATCTCTGCGCTTTGTCCGCTGCTCCAGTGCTGGGTTCAACAAGTCGTTGAGGAAATAATGGCCTTGTCGGCAACGTCGTCTGTTACAAATGACAAGATTATAAATTAGAGTTGTTCCGCCACTAGCGCATAGCACACAAAGTAATTGAAGTTAACCACAAGTGGTGGTACAAGTGTAACAAAATGGGAAAACATCGATTTGATGGCTTGCAATTTGGTGTAATTTTTTGATGATTTTAAGAACTTTTGACTTAAGTGAGGATAAGCTTAATATACGCTCGTTAAACGACATAATGATTGAAGAAGTGTTTTATAACATTTTGTAGTGAGTTTGTAGCAAGTTGCATGTAAACAAATATAGAGCAATAATAGAGTCATAAAAAATATTGAAAACAACAAAAAAATTAACTTCGGCTGAACTGGATTCATAATACCTTACATACCTTCATATGGCGGCTATATGCTATAGTGGTCTGATCTAAAGAATTTCTTCAGATATTGAATTATTACTTTAAGGAAATAACCCAGCCAAATTTCATGAATATACCAAATTAAAAAAAAATTCCATGCAAGTACTTGTTTCCGACCTTTCAGTTTATATGGTAGCTATACGCTATAGTGGTCCGATAACGGTCGTTTCAAAAACTGACCATTCCACTGGAAAGAACACGATGTGTGCAAAATTTCAGGTCGATATATCATAAATCAAAAAATTAAGACTAATAATATATAAAGACGACAGCAAGCCGAACATGGTTAAATCGATTCTACTCGCCACGATAATAAATTATATACGTCTATCGTCAATTAAAATGCAAAATGAGGTAATATGAGTTCAAAGGCGAAGAGAAAACGATATAATAGAAACCACTCATATTGAACCCTAATTCGAGTTTTGGTTATAAATTGGTTATATACTGGTTATATGTGATAGAAAATTGTATGCTACATTTATGTCATACGATGTAGTGAATCCTAAGCAATAAAAAACTCAATTTCGATTTTTTGTTGTTTTGCGTTTTAGGAGAATATATGCTATATAACCCTATATATAGGGTTTTCGGCAGCTGCTTATATGTGTTACAAACTTCGTGATTTAACTTATTACCTATTCAGGGTATAAAAATTGTGGAATGGAATTTTTTGAAATAAATAAAAAAATTTTACAAATTTTTTTTTTATATTAGACATTTGTTTTTCTATATTCTATTAAAACAATAAAATTAATTTATCGACTAGTGAACACCTTAGTCGAATTTCCACTATTGTTTAAATAATTTGTGTTTTTATATTTTCCAAAAATTTAAATATTAAAATATATAATTTTTTTAATTTCTTTTTAGTGATAAATTGTTTATTAAATCAAATTTAGCTCACTAATTATTCGTATTTTTTGATAATTATTTTAAAAATAATTTTTTTTTTATAAATTCGAAAAAAATGTTCATTTTATGTGTAAAAATATTTTAAAATTAATATCAGTCGAAATTCATAAGCGCCTATAATCTACAGAAAGAACCTGTGCTTAGAGATGTGCTCTGGAAAATGTACAAATAGAGATTTCTTAATTTCACATTAAGTGTTTCGAGAATATAAAACAATTATATTTCATAATAATTTGAGGAGTTACATACATTCATATCTGACACCATTTATTATTATTATTTTTACTTTTTTATTATTTTTATTTAAGAGAAATTTTCGATTCACTCTTTCGTCCAAATATTGTATCGATATTTGTTTAATAATATTTTAAATATTTTTGGTATTCTTAACTATTCCATAGCTAATATACTGCTAACAATATTTGTTGTTGCACTTTCTTGCTATAATATTTATTTTTACTTCAATTGTTCGATTTTAAAGAATCTTTCAAAAAATATTTGTAAAATTTTCCAAGAATGCTCGCTTTGCTTCCGCCTACAAATAGCTTCCTGCTTATACAAACACATTACTCCAGGGAGCTCATTAATCAGCGTTAGCCACTACTGCGGACGGACACACACTCTTAATAAACCGTACACTCCGAATACGCAAACATATCAAATACCCACCGGAACACACCGCCACTTGCGTTGTCCTTACCGCGCTAATATGCCACACTGTCCGTTGATACGAATGAAAATAAAAAGGCTAACGGTATAAAAACACAGAAACACAGGCATAACGGCCAATATAAGTGGAATGCGAGTCTACTAAGTAAGGCAGCGGAAGAGTAGTATAGATCTTTTTTACGCCGATGTATTTTAATTCGGAGAATATGTGCAGGATCACTAATAAAAACGCGGGCGAGCTGCTGCCGTGCGCCTTTTGTTTGCGTTTGAGTGGGATGTTTGGGTGAGCATTCGCCTGTGGCAGCCTCCTTACTTACCCAAAAGTCGCTGATGTGTTAAATGTCCTCCGGCTGTGGTTAACACTCGAAAATTATCCTTTCGCTTTTTGCCCGGCACTTCGGGCGCTGTGACTGATGATGCTCGGTTGCGTTAGGTAAACCGCTCGAACCGCTCGAGCCGCTCATGTGTGCTTAATCTGAACCAAATATTATTAGTGTTATTGTATTAAGCTCTAATTCCGTTGAGTGTGCGTGTGGACGCTCGGTCGCAATGCCCAAGTTTTTAGGTGCATATGCGCTCATTAATTTAAGAACCTCATGCCAGTTGCGGCTTTGCTGGTAATCCAGCGAATCAAGCGGAAAAGCCGACTGAAATGCAGACGCCACAAACCAATCACCGCGCCGCACCTGCGGCACGCAAACCACACCAGTCAACTATATAAATGTACCGTTACGCGCACACACTCTTAAGCCGCACAGCTGTTTTCACGTATTTATTTGTTTATTTATTTTCACTTTCCTTCGTTATCTCTTCACTTGATCCTTTATGCGCCCATTGGCTCACATTAAGCTGCCCCAGAGCCCACACAATCAAGCAATCACAGAAGCGCCCATGGCGTTCACGTTCAGTACGCGTGCGACAGTGCGTATACTTGACTCGCGGAGTATTGAGCAAACGGCACTTTCACTTGACAACACTCGGCGCTTTCACTGCGACTCAACGCGCGCTCCAACTGTGGTAGGCATTTCGCTCGATTTCATTCACAAAAATTTCACTTAACTCTTGGTGCTGCTGCCTCTTCTTCTTCTTCGGCAACTTTACGAAAATAAATGCGAACGCTTGTTGGACGCTCAACGAATGCTCTGCACTATGGCAAAACTCGTCCGGTCGCTTCGACGTTTCTTACGCGACTCTGCTGTTGCGTTCGCCTTCAGTGAGTCTTATATTCGTACGCCCGTCTGTTTGTTTGTTGGAGTCCTTTCGTTTCTGATCGTTTCGGTTTGTTTTCCGCATGTTTGCTTTTTGGCCAGCCGTATGCGAATGTTATTGCTGTAGTTGTTGCAGCCATTGCGTTCGTTGGACTTTCGTTATCATCCCATGCCACATGTGCTGGTGGTGGGTGGTTGTAGCAACAGCAACAGCAACAGCAAAAGCAACAGCAACAGTCACCGAACAGCGACAATGGCCTCAACAAAAAACGAAAAAGAAGCACAAAAACACCGAAGTGCACAGCCGGCTTTGTTTGTGTTCGCAGTTAGGCACAGAAGCCGATTTGTTCTGTCGCATGGAGTCGCGTTTTCGCCATTGTTTGCTGCCACTTCTGTGTTGTTCTTCCGCTTCTAGCTTATGAGTGCTTTGAAGGCAGGCGGCAGCGAAAGTTATGTAGCTAAGTCACTGCCTCTTGGTATACTTCTTATGCGCATTTGCTTTACTTCCTTCCCCACTTTTCCCTTTCACCTCCAAATATCCTAACGATGCCATTTAAGATTTTTTGCTCTGTTTTCGATTTGTTGTACCGGCCTATACGCGCTTAATGCTCATTAAATTAAGAAAATGCAAGTGGGATGAATTTGTTGGGCCTCGGTAAGAGAGTAATTGGCAATGACATGTGGCACCTGGGCGCTGAAATTTTTGAAAAGTGGACGTGATCCCCCCTCTAACAGGTTTAATGTACATATATCCGAAACCACTAATATTACAACAATAAAATTCACTCAGGACAAATCTCTTAAGCAACGCTGTAAAAACACTGAAACACTGTAAAAATTAGAGATAATTCCGTCCACTCGCCATATAACGGCACTATTCCCTAAGCATCCCTACCGACACTGTAAATAAAACGGCACTGTTAGAAAGTACTAAAAGCGCGATAAATTAATAACTAATACTACAGACATTAACGTTTTCCTCTGAGATGAGTATGATGAGACTTTACGGGGTGAAAATTGGACAATGGCATAGCCCCACCTTAGATGAAATCACTTATCTCGGCACTTCGTCGAACGTTTTCAACCGAATTCGGTACATAACATTTTTCTCATATTCCTATGTTATAGTGTGAAAATGAGCAAAATCAGGCTACAACCACGCCTACTTACCATATAACACAATTTTGATTTTTTTTTGGAAAGTCTAGTATACAGATCAAGAAGCAATTTATATAGCGAGACAAAAAGTGTCTGCGAAATATGTAACTTTATGGCCAAAATTTGTTCAAATCGAAGCGAAAATGTTCAACAACCGTCGAATAAATAGACCCCATTGCCTACTGTTGTCTTTTTACATAAGACAGTCATATGTCAGTATGTTTCAAATGAGTTGTATCGGGTCAATACTTCTTTTAACCCCCATACATATGTATGTATATACATATATATATATATATATACATATATATATATATTTTTTTTTGTATTAAATCGCCATAAATTTCACTTTTTGAACGCCCATCAGCAAATCCAGTAAACAAAAAACACCATTGAACTGCTTCCCACACTTTACACCCATTTACATAATGCGCAGTTAAACAAAACGATATTTCCTAAAAATGACTTTCCACACATCCACACAGAGAGAGCAACGCGTTGTCATTGCTTCCAGCTCCAACAAGACATACATCGCGCCCGATGTGTTCAATTTAAAAACAATTTCCATAGGTCAACTTTGTGGTCAACTAACGTGCTCCGCATACGCCCGCATCGGTACGGAAAAGTCCATATTAGCACATGCCTTTCGCGCGTTGCCAATTTTGCAATTCCGCCAGCTTTTTGTTTGGTTGTTGCATTGTCACCGTGACAATTGCAAGCTCCGCCGCAGGATTGGCGGGTGTTCGCTGAACTGCAGCGGGACCAAACGGCGTTCGAGAGCCGGCAAATGCGCTACTTGGGGCACGTGTGGCTTTGCCGTTGTTCAGCTGAGTGTGTGCGCATTGCGTATAGTGTGGCGCATGGCGAGCTCTAAGGTGCTTGACATGTTGCATGACCCATAAACATACAAATCATGCAACGCGTCGCACATCAACTCACGCCAGTTGGCTAACAAATTGACTCCGCAAGTGTGCGTGAAGTGGTGCGTGGCGACCCGAGCTGCACGACGGTGCGCCGACGAGTGTGCGAAAACGCAGAAAAGGTGCCAAGTATTTTAAACATGCTTCAGAAAAGTAGTTATTGAAATTGTAACTCAACACGCAAGCATTAAGAGTCGAGCGCAAGTGGAAAGCGTATAATGCGTATCGAAGGTGGGTTTTGTATTCAGGCCATGTTCTTTAGGAACTAATTGTATGGGACAAGCAAAATTTACGCCTCCAGGTTGTCACAATTAATTATTATTTCAATGAATATTGCTCCCCAAACGTTCACAAGGAGATTAGATCATTTTATGTGCCGAATTTTAAATTCTAGCTCACTTCGTCTTGGCATACACCACCCACAGTCTCTGGAACGCGCTTTTCCAATGGCGCTTTGTCTGTTTGCTGCGCGCAAAAAAGCAACAAAGCGTGAATGTCTGAGATCCATATAAGCTGACAAAGTGTCAACGTCATCAGCAGCAGCCGGCAACGGCAAAAACCTATGCTGCAACAACACGCGAATCGGGCTTAGTCAGCCAGCCAGTCAGCCAGTCAACCAGCTCGACGTACAGTTGCTGTCATCGGCGCGACACAAAATTATATAAAATAACATGGCGTGCAACGGCACACATGTACATATCGATACACACTCTCTACTCTGCTCTGCTCTTATTTTTATTAGTCAACAGTCACTTCAACGTCAGCGTCCATGGCTGTTGTGTGTCAAAAAGTTGTTATTTTAATCCGGAAGCTGATGGAATTTCCGGCGCGCAACATTTCACTGGCACGGCACGCGTAATGTAGCAGCTTGTCGCCATTAAGAGTCCGGCAGCCGGCAAATGGCAAGCGGCACCGGCATGCAATTTGTTTGGCTGCATTCAAAGTAGGCATTTCGTGTGCCCTTCGTGACGAGAGCGCACTTTCTTAGGTTGATTACCTATGTTTGGTCTTTTTTTTAATTTTCTATTTTCGCCTTTTTTCTAAGCAAAACATTTTTAAATTCACCTTATCACAGGCACTAATGTAATGGACTTAAGTCGACTTTCGTCGCCTTCTTCCTCTGTTTCCTCTGCTGCGAACGGTAGGCGCTCTTAACCAATACAGTTTCCTTTGCGGAAATGACGTTCAACTTCCGGCACTGCGCTCAACTGAGCTTTGAGTAATGACGTAAATTGGCGGCAAAATCACAGGGTTGCCGTTGAGTATAAAAATGGGCTTCGTAACTTGAGTGAACAGCATACTGTCGCCCTTTCAAAGCGCCTCAACGTTAACTCAAGCTTGTACCACTTTCGATATGTGCAACTCAGCAAACGTTTTTCCGGCATTTCACTCTTTTTTTATCCTTAATGTTAGCGACGTGTTAGCAACCCTATCGAATAGAGCCATCATTTTGTGCACTTCTGTAGCTAACGGTGTGTGGCGCTGATTCCTCAGCCCTAAAATTGACGTTTTCACTGTTTGGAGAATATTACCTTGAACATATTGGTATTGAGCTCCCCGATGTCCCCACTGCCTCCAGTGTACATTAAACAAACGGGCACTGAGTTCCTTTCAATTTTGCCAATTCAAATGGAAAACGGTACAACGAGTACCGTACAGTAACAACTACAGTTAATTTAATTTTGAAATATTTCAACTGTGACGAAATGCAGAGGACCGAACTAGCATCAGGCACCAACCCGAATTTCGGGCGCTTTTCCTCTTCCCTTACACGGGCAGGCCAGCAATTCACCTCGAGCGAGCGCTCTGGACCGCATAGTGCCAGCAGGTACGAGCGTATGTATGTGCGCGTGTGTGTGTGTGTGTAGGTGTACTCGTATGTGTGATCAGGTGCATATGCCAAGGAGTTAGGTTTGGGCGCCCAAAATGCGCGCGTCAATGGTTGCGGCGAATGGGCGGTCGCACAACGTCGCCTAATGGGAAATCGATTGCAGTAATTTGCAGCTACAACTCAATTTAAACGTTGAGTTTATTATATTTCTGATTTCCTCCCATTTAGTATTCGTAATTAAATTGCTGTAACAGCGGGAAATGTGTGTGCTCAGCCGTGAGAACTGTTCGTGATGGCATCACTTGAATTTCGGGTGGGCGCACCAGCGATAACGGTACGCGTCGCGCTCTTAGTGGCCATGCAAATGGCAATTTCCACTTTTTGTAGTAGACGCCACTGATTTATTTATAGCAATTTGACGGTGAAAATTATAACGACCGCGATGACGGTCGCAAAGCGTTCACCCACCTACGCACACAGCCACATATACGCATGGAGGCTGCTGAACCTTTTTAGTTGGCTTTTTGGGCTGCGAGTCCTACCAAGTTCCATATACTACTTTTTATACGAGGATTTCTATCGATTTTTCAATTAGCGTCACTGCCAGCAGCACAGCGCTCACGGACGATTTAGACACCCCAAAGCCTTCAGCCGCAATGCTTTGGCGCCGAGCGGAGGTGACAAGTGCCTTGCGCCTCACCTTTGTGCTAATATTTTACTTTTTGGGTGTTTTATATGTGTGCTTTGAAATTCCTTAAACGCTCTGT